GAGAGCAGAAAGAGATAGCGAGAGGAGAGAGAGAGACGAGAAGAGGAGAGGAGAGAGAGAGAAAGCGGTGATGAGAAGGGAGAGAGAGGACGAGACGAGAACTGCGATGAGAGAGAGAGATGAAAGTCGCGAGACGAGAGAGAGAGTAAGAGAAATGCTCCGTCTGATGAGAGAGAGAGAGAGAGAGCGAGAGAGAGAGAGAGCGCGCCAGCGCTTGAGCGAGAGAGAGATCAAGGTATAGCACACATGCGTGCAGTCTGTACATATAAGCATAGTCTATTCCCTTCAGGCATCCCTCCCTCCTTTCCCCCGCTCCCCCTTGCTATTACCTCCGATGACCGCAGGGTTCCTTCTCCGAGAGTTTAGCATTAAAACACGTATAGGGAAGCAGACAAATAAGAGACGTCGCCTCGGTGGCGACGGAAGGCTATTTGGGCGCCCCCTTGCGGCAATATAGAGTGCGATCCAGTCAGGAATTCGTGTAAATATATCACGGCCTATTATATGATGGTTTCTGGCTATACGTCTACCCGTGAACAGCCATATATATATATATATATATATGTTTGTGTGTGTGTGTGCGTGCGTGCGTGCGTGCGTGTGTGGGTGCGTGCGTGCGCGTGTGTGTGTGTGTGTGTGTGTGTGTGCGCGCGCGCGCGTGCGTGTGTGCGCGTGCGTGTGTGTGTGTGTGTGTGCGTGCGTGCGTGTGAGAGAGAGATCGGGCCAATACAATTTTTGGGAAACCGGAAAATACCAGATAATAATATTTCGTCATTCGTGACTGGAGTCAAACATTTTAATAAATTTGACTGGAAACTGGGAAATGGGACGTTTTTTTTTATATGCCTCCGACATTGGAAATGGACCCCTTCTTGCACCCACATATGTATATAATCAAGTGCTGATAATACCTCTCTATAAGCTCTTAATATATTAGAGGTATAGAGGATCTTAAATAGAGATATTATTCGCTCTTAATATAATATCTATATATATAATATCTATCTATATATATATATACGGCTGATGTGGTATATCAATGAAAGAAATGGACCCCTTCTTACACCCATATATATATATCAGGAGTACATAATAGGATATTATTATTACTCTCCTATTATCTCCTGTTATGTACTCTTGATATATATATATATATATATATATACGTTCGTAGGCGGACTAGCGTGGTAGTGTAATCATTGGAAGGCTTCTTGGTATGTGGCGTGATGTAGGCGGTACATACAGACAGCAAAATGGGCGGTCTGCTGCCATTACTGGGCACGCGTAGAGCAGAGTCAACGCATATGCAATGATACTAATGTAGGGAATTTTTATGTGTCGCGCGTGTGTGCGTCTGTGTGTGTGTGGTGTGTGTGTGTGTGTGTGGTCTGTGGTGTGTGTGTTTGTGTGTGTGTGCGCGCGCGTGTGTGTGTGCGCGCCCGTGTGTGTGTGCGTGTGTGTGCGTGTGTGTGTGTTTGTGTGTGCGTGTGCGCGTGTGTGTTCCGTGTTGTGCGTACGCGTAATATATATATATAATGGGCTACTGTACGGCGGAGCCGATGTTAAGAATAAAGAATGGCGGCTGACCTTCCACGATCATATTCCTGTGAGCCATCGCTCCAGTCCTAGGCAACGGACGGTGGCCGCTATGTTATTACACCGAAATATATATATATAATATAATATATATTATATATATATATATCAATATTATATATACAAATATATAAATATCGAAGTCAGATCGACACAAAAATTGTCCGCTAATAAATTTGTTCGGTTGAATATATGTCATTCGTTCCGCTCAGTGCGCTTTCATAGTTCATGCCTTTTTGCAATTTGGCGCGCACACACCAACACGCACACACGACGCACGCACAGCACACACACCACACACACACACACACCACACACACACACACAACCCACACACACACACCACACACACACACACACGCACGCACGCACGCACGCCACACACACACACACACACACACACACACATACGCTCGTGCTTTCAGCGCTAGTAAATTCTACAGTTGCCCTGGCCACCTGCCGTATCGCTCGCAGCGTGTGTGTGTGTGTGTGTGTGGTGTGTGTGTGCGTGCGTGCCGTGCGTGCGTGCCGTGCGTACGTGCCACGTACTAGTGCGCTCCGAAGCGACGTCGGCACGAATGGTAACGTTTAGGTCGCCTGTCATTCCATGGCGAGGTCAGAGTTCCATGTGTATTAACGTCACGACATAGCATCGCGCGTTTACAAACGGCCGCCATCTTTGTTCGGGTTTTCTTACGAGATGAGAGAGCTAAACGTCTACCTAGAACAGGCACGTATATATATATATATATATATATATAATATGTGTGCGTGCGTGCGTGCGCGCGTGAGCGCGTGTGTGTATGCGTGTGTGCGTGCATGTGTACGTTGCGTGCGTGCGTGCGTGCGCGTGTCTGTGCCTGCGTGCGTGCGCGCGTCTCTGCACGCATCTGCGTGCATGTGGATAACAGGGAATTCTCTACGTGCGCCTAAATTCGTATAGACTATTTTCGACCGCTCGATTCGTCAGTTTGCTACATAATATTCCCAGTTTTATTATTACGTGATGCTGTAGATACTGCCATACTCGTAACAGAACACAGCCTTCCACTGACTCATTAAAACGCACTCTCTAATTTAACGCCTCTTCGATGATGTATACATGTTCGCGGCCGCATAATTAGGATGTCCATGCTCCGGGGGCCGCCCGCATGTAAGTTGTTGTTCTTAATAAAGTGTGCAGACGAATTTTCTTCTCTCTCGCGCGCGAATATTGTAAATTGCACCACAAATTGCACATGTGCAAAGACACGTCCGGCGTTAATTTAATTGCATGTGTGACGCGCCGCTGAAACTGCGAACTTTGCAATGTTTTTGTAAAACCTGAACGTTTGTATTTATTTTACGTGTACATACTGTATCTTGCGTGTAAAGATGACGATGCATAAATATATATATATCTCTCTCTATATATATATATATCTCTATAAACATATTGAGGTGAATATGGAAACCTCGCTTGTATATAATACGTATTAAAATCAAATTTTCTCCTTTTAACGAACGTCTTTTCCTTGAATTTTTCTCTCACGTTGTTACTCGATCCAAATGTTTATTTGATGAAATGCGAAATGATATGCGGATACGGAT